ATCACTTTGGCCGACTTTATGGCCGCATGGCCTCGACATTGTCCTTCCCCGCTCAACCCTCTCCCCTCTCTCTCTTTCTCCCTTTCTCTCCCCCCCCCCCCCTCTCTCTCTCTCTCTCTCTCTCTCTCTCTCTCTCTCGTTCCATACAGGGCGCGCGCGATAAACAGCACGACACACACATCATAGGGAGCACGTTCAAAAACATGTGCCCCCCCCCCCTGCTGGCGTGACCGTGTGTGACCGCGCGCAAGAGCTCTCGGCTCGGGCCGTCATGGAATTTAAACGGGATGCTCGACGCGCAGCTATGCCGCCGCCGCCGCGGCCTACTGCTGCGCCACCATAGGCCGTGCATGGAGGCCCGCCCGGCCGTGTGACGGAAAGCGACGGGGTGGCCACCCGACGCGGGACGGAAATCGCAATTCTGCTTCTTCCAAACACACTCACGATGCAGACACACCCACGCATGCGAGGTTACGAGGGCGAAATAATGCAGGAAACGGCAATGATGGCGCCAGCCCAGCGGACAAGTGAACTACTGGGTGCGGCCCTTGAGATCAGCCAGAAAGTACGCCCGTCATTCGCCGCGACGGACTTGCCAAGTTCAGCCTGTGCGACCTCTCATGGCGCCTGGTAGGTAGGCAATATATCTTGCCTGCGGTGCACGCGTGTACTGCGGGGTAGCCTACCCCGGAGTCTCGCAGGCGCCCAGCTCCCGCAATGTGCCGAATAAATCTGTGAAAAAGCGGACGTACTTCCTCGACGATTCACATAGGGCGGACTCCGTCTAGTTTCTCACAAGCATTCTCTGCCCATGTCCACAACCCGCGCAGCACGCTTCGTGACAACGTCTCTTGACCCTGTGTGCTCCGTCTGTTACAGCTCAGCACGCCCAAGTACCCGGTGGTCTTCAAGATCGGCCACGCGCACGGCGGCCTGGGTAAGGTGCGCGTCGACAGCCACGCCGACTTCCAGGACATGGCGAGCGTGGTGGCCGTGGCGGGGACCTACTGCACCACCGAGCCCTACCAGGACTCCAAGTACGACATCCACGTGCAGAAGATCGGCAGCAACTACAAGGCCTTCATGTGAGTATTGGGTGGGCGGCGTCCCGTCCTCGCCGCGTTGGTGCTCGCCGCCAGCCCCCACTCCACGGAGCCGCGCTCGGTCACTGTTACAGGCGCAAGTCCATCTCGGGCAACTGGAAGACCAACACGGGCTCGGCCATGCTGGAGCAGATCCAGATGACCGACCGCTACAAGATGTGGGTGGACGAGGTGTCGGAGCTGTTCGGCGGCCTCGACATCTGCGCCCTGGAGGTGGTCGTCAACAAGGAGGGCAAGGAGTTCATCATCGAGGTCAACGACAGCGCTCTGTCGCTCATGGGTGATTCTCAGGAGGAGGACAGGCGCCAGATCGCGGAGCTGGTGGCCGCCCGCATGCAGGTCAGTTCCGTATTCAGTTATTTCTTTCAAAAAAAAAATGTGCATGAAAAAATTCAATTTTTGGAAATTGATTTGTTTTTAGCAACACTGCCGGCCGGTGTCTATGACGAAGGCGACTTCGCGCAGCTCCGTGTCGAGCAGCGGCCTGGGGTCGCCGACATCCGAGGGCCCCGGCATCGGCCCCGGCGCCGACGTGACGGCCATCGGCGGCATCTCCAGCAGCGGCGTCCCGCGCCGGGACTCGCAAGGTATAAGAACCCACCGAGGGACCCTCCAGAGCCAGCACTCCACCGCCGGCACCAGCATGGTGGCAAGCATGGGCTCCAGCATGGGCTCGCCACGCAACCCACGCCGATACAGCCTGCAGCCGCAGCGCACCGTGAACTAACGCGGCTCGGACCCCTTGGGCCCCAACCCTCCATACTCGCGGATTTCTCCTTTTTTATTCATTTTCGTTCTCAGGTTGCCCATTTAATCTTTGATGCTAAGAAATGTCTTCCTATTCTCGTCACCAAACGGCATTTCGGTAACGATCCCCTCAAGCACCTCTTTTTCCTTTCCCTTAGAGAAAGGGTTTTCGCGGCGCCTCAGATGGCAACTCCCTAAACGAACCAATCCCTTTCCCTTTCTCAAGATTATTTCCATGAAATTTAGTCGTACATCATTTTAAGAATTGTTTAGTTGACGCTGAAATGATAATAATGTTGACTAACTTGTCAGGGAGCTTTAATATGGTGCTGTAACTATTTCTTTATTATTATTAGAGTATAGATAAGCATTCACATTAAATTTACTCATTTATTAATCTCGTTGTCAACGTAGTATTTGTGAAACTTCTCGGCAAAAATATGTGTATAATATCAAAGCTGCGTGTAGTTTGGGAACATGAGGAAGTTTTGTGATACGAGGTGCTCAAAAAAAGCTCATAAACTGTTATTTTTAACGAAAATGACAAAACCTAAAGCCTCATTTTCATGCTTGTCCTTTTCGGCCTATGAATAAGCAACCCCTCGTTGTTATAGCTCAGCTTTTTTTGCCTTCGCCACCTCGGCCCTTCTGGGGTCGGGGCGGGTCGGGGCGCGGCGCGGCAGAGGGGGATGCTGGTCCGCGGGGCGGGGCGGGGCGTGCCCCATGCTTCGCCAACCGAAAGGGCGAAGCATGTCATTTGTAATGCTTTCTCCTCACAGTAACTCACCTCGTATGTTGTTGCGATTGATTAACTTTTGCAGCAGCGTGTTGATCCGCGCCCCGTTCGTCCCTTTACGCCGTGCAGTTTTCGGATCGGGCCGGCCCCCCCTCCGCTGCCACTGTCGCGCTCGCTTATAGGCTTCACGATTGGATGTGTAAAATCGTTTTGTGTTTCACTGTGTGCTGCATCACCGGGCTGGACTGTTAATAGTTGTGCGCCAGGCTACACAATTACTGCGTTTTTTGGTGTTTTGCTTTTATTTGAATTTCGTTGTCAGGGAAAGGTGGGGCCCCAGTTTTTCAGCTTGCTGCGGTGAAGCATTAGGCTTGAATTTTTCAACCGAAACCAATGAAGTATAATAACTAGTTACGACTTTAGAGATTTGAATCGGTTTTCTTTCACTTTTACACTGAGAAGCGACATTCTGGGCCTGCCTCCACCTCTCCCTACCAAGGCCGTGTTTATGGAATGTGGATCTTAGACGAACTTCTCACTATAAGTAGAATCAACAAAACAAATAAAATTACGTGTTTAAAGGTTGTGCTTTCCGCTCGTCAGTGCCCTGTCATTGGAACCCCTGTGGAGTCGAGGGTAGGCAACACCGCCGTGCAGCCCCGCTGCGAAGGGATGCCTACCTACAGGCGCTTATCCCGCCAACCCCATTCTACAGAAAGCCCCTCCTAAAGGGGGGTGCAGCCAAAGGCTTCGATTTCTAACCGCAACCACGTATCTCCGATACTTTTCATCGGGCCCGAGATGGGTCAGAGTCACAGTGATGTCACTGCGACTGCTATGATCGCTTTACGGTCGATTACTCATCGAAGCCCAATTTTGCTAACGACTTCTCGGGAAGGAAATCGAGGAGTGAAGTGTTGTGATGATTTGGCGCGTTGCTCAGCTATGTCTGTCTTTTCCTATCTATCTGTCCTGTCTGTTCTGTATGCCTGCTTGCCTGACTATCAGCCTGTCTGCCCTCCTGCTTGTCCAACTTTGATATTCGCTTTTCTTGTGTCTTTCCTTCGCCGTCCTGTCTGCGCTGTTTCGCCTTCCTTGCAAATCGATTTATTCATGCACTCCATGTGTAAAAATATAAAACAAAGAAGAAGGAAGGGAGGCCCTATGGGACCTCAGGGGTGTCACCCTCTCTGTGTCCTTGCCCCGCACGGGGCCAGATCAGTATTCCAATGAAGAGGGACAGGGGCAGAGCGGAGAGATGGGGCCGTGGGTCATAAAATCCCTGAAATCCAGCGACGGGAAAAAAAGAGAGAGGCCAGAGAGAAAAGCAAAAAAGCTCCCCGAGAGAGCCAGACGCGAAGCAAAAACAACAACTGCTTTCCTTGCAACTTCTCCCACTTGACACTTGGTTCCCGCGCGCGCACTTCCACCCCCTTTCTCTCTCACTCTCTCTTTTCTTCCTTTACCCCTCTGTCTGTCTCTCTTCCTCTATCACTCCCCTTTCTCTGTTTTCCCCTTTCTCTCTCAGTCTTCGCAAGAACGCGCCCGTCTCTCTGTCTGTTCCAGCCTCCCAGAGCTCGACGACGTCCGCCGCGGCCACCGCGAGGCGCCCCGCCGAGGAGGCGCGCTCACTGTTCGGCAGGCAGAGCTCGACGGCGGGCACGGGGTCGCAGGCGGGGCCGGGGCCAGTGGCCGGCCAGGAGGGGGCTGCAACGGGCACCGGGGAGGACAACGAGGACACCATGAAGATACTGCGCAACACGTTCGCGGGTCTATTCGGGGACATGTAGAGAAAAACAAACGGGGTGGGGGGTAGGGATGATTTTTGAAAAATTGTTATTGCTATTATTTGTGGGCTCGCACCAATGCTTTGTTGCGTTGTAGTAATAAGATCAACTTAAACTCAATTCAGAATTTTTTTAAGTTGAAAGAAACAGTTTCAGACATAAACACAGCCCCAACTTTATTGAAATGTATTGAGACTACTTTTGTAAATTGGTGCGACGTACCTTTGAAGGTGCTGTTAATATTATTTCTATGTTGAGTAAGAAATCGATTAAAAGAAAATTGCTGCATTTGATACAAGTTTTTTAAAGGTGCATATTTGTCTTTTAAGTCAATTTGAGCTTTAAGGATTGTTAATTTCAGCGCTATTTCTGAATATTTGCAAAGCAGTTCTTCAAATGAGGCTAGGTAGAACAGTACTTTGTAGGAGACTGAAGAGGAGCACAAAAGGAGGAATTGAATGCCAATCATTTAGTAGCTCTCTCAATGGTAGAAGGGAAAACCTTTATGAGATGATTGATTTGTATTCTGCTGGCAGTAATACTAAAAATGTTGTTCAATTCAACCTGCAATGCTGAACAAGACAGAAAAATGTTAGTAATTTCTAAAAAGACTTTCCAGACCTTTTGGAATGAGTGCCTCAGACTTTTAATTTCCCATTGAGAACTCAAAGTCAAAATGGGGTCTTTGGATGTCGTTCTGGCCACTTAGCAGTCTCTAACTGGGATATTTTGACTTGAAAGGTCAAAATGACATCACTTGGACGACATTTTGACTGAAGAATTCACTTCAGATGTATTGGCTATGCTTCATTTGCATCGCAATACATTATGGGAGGTTTCCATGAATACTCCAGCTAGATTTTACAAAATGAAAACAAATTTTAATGATGAAGGTTGTAATCCATACAGTGAAATGTGGTGCCTTAGACTTATGCTTTCTATAATTTTTGCAGACCTTGCTTGGTTGTTATTTGTTGACAATGTTTTGATATGTTAAGGGAATGGCAGGAGCTTCAGATGCCCTGCAAAAATATTTACAACTGTTAAAAATGCAGTGTTTAACTTTTCCTTGTATTCCTTGTCATATCATTCTTGACTTCATTAGCATATTTTATGTGTTATGTTGATTGTGTATTGAACATTGATCCCATTTTCCAAGGGTGCAAGACTTCCCTGTGGACTTTGGTTTTTGATAAATTAGTTCACATTGCTTGTTAGATAATGATAGGCGTGAGGTATAAATTGTGTTCTGTATACCCCACAATGCGTATGTATGAATAATACTCAGGTTCTGATAGAAACACATGAGTCACTATTAACTCTCTGATTAAATGTTAATCGGAATTTTTTAACACCACCATTGTATGAAACAATGATACTCATGACAATATTTTATTGAATGTAGAGTTAGAATGCTTTTTAAGAAACATGAAAAGGCCATGCATTACAACACATATATACAAAAAAAAAGTTGTTTATTCTTTATCTGGGCTGAACTGGCTATCAAACACCTATTAAGTTGATGATTATTTTGCTGAAGATTTACCTTTGTTTTTACCTATGTGTTATTAATCATAACTTGACAGGGGTAATGGGAGGAGACACTGGGAAATCTTGAAAAAAAAATTGGAAATGGTGAAAGATGGGCACATCACATACTTCAACAACGTTTTGAGTCATGTGATAGTTTTGAAATAGGTCTCACTGCCCTGAGAGGATAAAATTCAGCAATAAATTTCAAATGTAAAGCTAGACCTCACAATGAAACGATTCTATACATGTTTATGATTCATCCATTCCAAAAGCAAATAATTTTTGTTTGTAGAGCATACCTTAATTATAGGCAAAGAATAATCAGAGTATTTTTCTGCCCCAATGTTTTCTTATTTTTATTATCACCATAATTGATATTAAACCAGGAGATTTGACAGGGTCAGTTGTCTGGAAAACTCTTTCATGGCATCAAATCTAAATAATTGATTCTAGCCTGCATTAGATTGCTAACCCTGTGGTTTCTCTTCGTTCCAGCCTGTGCTTCCTCCCATCCATCTTCTCTGATCCCAAATTAACCTGTTGGTCCTTACTATCGTGGGTTAATTTTCTTATTACGAATTGGACTTCTTCATGCTCTTATTCCTATCCAAATTAATGCTACACGGAATTGATGGCAAGCTTTAAATAACATGGAACAAACACTGTGAGAAATGAGTGCACTTCATTGGGTGCCAATTACCTAAGTATAACATTCTGTCATGGAATAGGTATATAATACCTTATGCTTCAAATTAACTTGAAATAGGCAAATGTTATCAAAAAGATTATTTAGTCCAGTTTGAAATTCAAAACTGTGTCAATTTTGACCTTAAATCAGGTATTTTTTAAAATTGAAAAAATGCAAATGCTAAAAACGTTGAGAAAAAAGTTGTTTTCATAAGTAGAACACAAATGTTGTTAGTAATATTTATCTCACTGTAAGTTTTGTTCTGTATTTGGAAAAACTCCTCCTGATGGAGGTAGTACTTATCATGTGTGATATTGCCACAAATTTAAGAAAGAAAAAATGAGTGCTGAGTGAACATTGTGAATGAGTGTTTGGATGAACTTCCTTTAACTGGAAGAATGTTAAGTGACTGAATAAATGGATGAACCTGTTCCAGCAAAGATGTGGCACTCTTCATGAAAAAAAACTGAGTCAGTTACAGTTCTTTTTTGCCCGAAAATTTTCTGTAAAGCTTCACCTTTGTATTATGATTGATGTACTATACATATATCTTTGTCTCCATTATAAAGCTACTACACTGCATGAGCCACATGTGGTTCAAATTTATGTATTGATAACTCATGTATAATAAAATATGTATCTTGATGTCACAAATATACGAGGTCAAGGCTCATATGCATCCTCAAAACATGGACTCCCTCTTCCTCTCCACTAAAATTTTGACACTACTTCTGATCATCTCTGTTTTTTGTTTTCTTTTTTTTCAAATGGGCTGCATTATTATTTTATTTACTTTTTAAAATGAAATGAAATAGAAGGTTAATCCAGCAATATAATGATATACATTGCACTCTAACTTTCATACATTACAAGATGCCGTATACAGCCTGAGGGAGGACCATGGATCTATAATTGGTTCTTTCAAAAAAGCATTAATGTCAGTTTTACTGTATTGTAGTATTAATAAAGACGGGATGAAATTTCAACAATCTTAAATGAGACGATCTCTATTTATTGCCTAACTCTATACAGGAAAATAGTTAAGTCAGACAGTTTAAAGTTACAAGGAAACAGTGAACTTGTGATTTGCCCAAATACATTCACAAATGAAAAAGAAAACAACATTCAACTCATAATTATTCACTGTCTGAACAAAATTATGTTGTCTATAGCAGTGAAAAGAATAGAATTTGAACTGTTTACATTAAAATGTAACTACACTGAAATATAACTAATCAATGGGTTAAGGTTAAGAATCATTCAAAAGGGAGGATACATAATTTGTGTACTATGAGATAAGGTCTTATCTAACCCAATTACTCCACATCTAAAACATCACAGTCATGGTACAAAAATCAAATCAAAGAAACTATGCAATTGCACTGAAAATAAGGGCTTTGGTACCTGTTGTAGATGAGTTTATCCAAGTCTTTGAAGCACAGCAGCATTAAGTAGTCCTGCATCTTGAACTGATTGAGAATTGTCTGACAGCTCTTTGCGTGGAAATGTTGTGTGAAGGCTGAATGATGCTGAAGAATATTGAGGGCGAGCTCTGGTAACATTTCAGTCAAGGATAAAACAAAAAAAAAATAGATATTGAAAAAAAATAAAAAGTAAAAGAATACAACTAGTGTGATAAAGGATACAAGTTAATATATCGCCGAAGATCACCAACAGTGTGGGAGTGATTCAATCGTGCAACAAGGGTGGATCCATCAGTCAAGCGGACTTGGATTGTAGTGCTTGGTTGAGAAGCATCAACAGTAACTTCCTGTTTGGCAGCAGCCTCTAATTCTTCTTTGGTTCTACCATCAGGAATGCCAGATGGAATGCCACTAGGAGGATTCGCAGAAGGGACTGGGCTAAAAGGCAAAATGAACAAAAAGTTATCAAGGGAAATACTCGGGTGGAAATAACAAAGATACCAATCAACACTTTAAACACGTGCTTTAAAAGTACCTACCTGCCAAGAACATTTCCTTTCCCAGTAAATGCTTTAACTTTTGCTTTGTATGCTGGCGGCTCCTCATGTGAGTGGGCTTCTATATTGACATGAACCTCGCTGCCCCTTGCTTCTCGAATTAGCTCACGAGGGATCTCACTAAAGTAAATGGAAACAAAAATGCATGGATGAGGTATAAAATATTCCATTATTAAACTGGTGAGAGTACAGTAACATTAAAGAACCCTCAAAATACAGATAGATACAGACCCCTTTCGAATACATTCCAAAAACTCCTTGTTTTCAGGATCAGCATAACCTCGCATGGGCCCGTCATTTACAGTGAAACCATCCCTCCACATTTTCAGTGTAACATTAACTTGCGGAGGTTGTCGAGAAGATCCTCCAGCGGTTACCTCTGTAAAGAAGTTGAATAACCAATGGTTGCAAAAATACAGTAACATCTTAAAACTTTGAGGAAATAAGTACCTTCAATGTCATCAGGAGTCTGTCCTAAGCGGTACCCTCTCCCTCCAAAACTGCTTGTTGATGGTCCACCAGAACCAGGGAGCCGAATAGGATCCACTTCCTCAGCACCATGCCTAGAAGGTAGTAAAACAATAATGTACATCTAAAAATTTATTCCTGAACTGAGAAATGAAAGTACAAGGGAAAAAGCAAAAAAGACGACTGACTGTAGGGGTAAGTCACGTGTGTCTACATCAGACGGTAAACACAGAATTGGATGATTTTTGAAAATGAGGACTAAAAATGACACTTACTCTTTGACTGATTTGAACATCTGAGCTACAAATTCTTCTTTGTTCATCTTGTTCTTATTTTTAGATGGTCCTAAAATTTGCTGTCCACTTGAATCAGATCCACCTGCATAAAATGCTTGTCCTTCCTCATTCCCTGAATCAGAATCATCAGAATCTTGGCGTAAACTAGCAAGAGTCCGCACTCTATTGCTGCAAAAATATAAGGTTAGTAAGTACTTTGTAAAAATAAGAAGCTGAAAATAGGGAAACAAAATATGAATTAAATACCATGTTACATACCTCGAGGAAGATTTACTCTTCGATTTGCCCTTCTTGCTACCGCTTGGTCTTGATGGTGGTTCAGGAGCTAGTTGAGGTTCAGACGGCATAGCTACAGGAACTACTTCTGGGCTATCACGATCCATTTCAGTATCATTATCAGCTTCAAAAAAACTTGCCAGTGCAACCTAGAGAATAATGAAATGGCAGAATGTGTGCAATATAGTAGCTGACATCAAGGAAAGGTTTTTTCTATGAACTTAACACTTATGAAACAATAAGAAGATTTTTGTGAGACTAACTTGAAAATTTATGGGCAATCAATAGAAAAGACTTGATTCAGACAAAGGAAAATGAAAATAGACTGTCAAAATTTAAGAGGTTATGTATTGTACAATTTACTGAAGTAACCAAAATATTCAATTAAATCGTCGGTAAGACGTTCTCAAGTACAGAACAGTAAATATTGTTCGGGGACAGTTTCACAATTTACTTATTTAAATAGCTCATTTATCACATTGTTGCAATGTTTATACCTCTAATTGCCAGCCGGATGACTCCAGGAAAAACCTTGCACGATCTTCAGGAGCTTTCGTCAAGTCAATAAAGGTCGCCAGTTGATCTGCTTGGTTGCTCATTTTGCAGAGAAGTATGACCGACTTGTAAAACTTGAGATACAATGCGTTTATTCAACGGTGACTTGTAACTTCCACTGACTGCGCCAGTTCAATGTTGGTGTATATTCCCGTTGTCCTGCAGGTTGCCTAAGCGCCAGTATGGTATGAGAAAATAAGTTAAGAAATGAAAACGGGAAGATGGGAAATAGCCACGATGCCACTTCCATGAAACCACTGATCCATTTCGTTTATCCTCTTTTCCCCGATTAAGACAAGAGAGAAAACAATACGTTAAAATTTGAAGGAAAATTATCTTTTACTTAGTTTTCAATATTTGATTGCGTAAGTGGGCAATTACTGATCCGAGTGTTGGTATAAATATTGGGGAAGGCCAGAAACAAATGCATTGACACGAAACTTGATTGGTATTGTTTGATTTATGGTACATTAACCATAAGTCTCCTTTATTGGTTGTCAGAATATGCAGTCACAACAATTTGATGATAATTCAAAATATACATATGTGTATTTTAAAACAGTTTGGGTTTCAACAGATTCAATACTTACACTTTAACTTAAAGAGTACATCAGATTATTATCTACGCTTAGAGTTTTTGTTGTTATTGCGCTTACTCTTCCCTGGCCGATTCTTCTTGTTCATATTCCTATTTTTTACACCAGGTTTCCTTGGTGGGCGGTACCCCCCTACATCTGCAGCACTTTCCTTTGTGTTGGTTTTTAATCCTCTCTTCTTGCCACCAAAGCCGAACTTTGAGTCTTTGTGTTTTCGTTTATCTGCAGACCTACAATTGAAAAATAAATGATTGCTGAGCATTCTCAGAATGACAAAGATGATATCCTGTAATCCTGTAATAAGTTTACTTCACATACCTGCTGTTTTTATTGTTTGGTGCAGGGCGTTTTTGCTGTCCAGGCTTCTTACCACCACCAGGCTCAAGGAAATCTAAATCTGTCCGAATGCCTTTTCTGTATTTTTTAACCTGGGAATGGACAAAACTTTTTAACACAGGATCATGAAACGTCGGAAAAAATTTACCAGAATGTTAAAATACCTCATCTATTAACTCTTTCTTCTCCTTTTGACGGTTCAGCTGTGATTGGACTTGCAATTGCTTCATCATCTTACGATTTTCTCTAGCCTTACGAACTTTCTCACTAACTTCCAAACCAGCTTTTTTCTTCAAAAGTGAATCACGCACCTAGTTTTGAATAAAAGAAGAGAGATTGAGAAATCAAAATATCAGAACAACTGACAACCCAAATTTCTCAAGCAGAACTTAAATAAATACCTTCTGCATGTGATCATCTGATTTTGCCATTTGAGCAAAATAATCGTCAGGTCTTTTGGTCCTGACACCAAGATTGTTTAATTTTGGAATACCCTCAAGTACAGCTGCCTGTGCTTGACGGTGAAAGTTCATTTCTCTTTTAAAATCATCAAGAGTTGGGTCTAGGGTCTTGGCCTTGGCTTGTTTCACTTTGCCAGATTTAGAATCATCTTCTTTTTCGGATATCTAAAAAGGCAATCAAAGAATTCAACATAGTACACTAATCTAAAATGCATTCAAAGACAATTCTGAATAATGTAGATAATTGACTTACATAAATGGCCATTTCAGGTGCAATAGGTGCTAAGCCTGTGGTAAGATCCAGTCGTTCAACCCATTTTAAGCTTTGTTGAATGTCACGAAGTCTGGTTTTGAGTCCTTCCTGCAAGTATTGAAGCGAGAAGATACAGTAATGTGAAATCTCCCTATACTCACAAAACTGAGCATTCAACTCAAATATTGTGCCTTACCACATTGTTTGTGAACACCTTCTTAGGTTCTACAGGTACGTTGAGGCCAGGTTTGATAATGCCCTTGGCAAAAGCCCTCTGAAGCTGTAAAAAAAAAAGGGGGTTTATAAAATACTAACTAACGTTTCTGAAATAATGTATGATATCAGAAATTGGAAAATCTATTATTCAAGCAGAAAACTAACCTCAGCGTCGGAGTCATAATCTACATCTTCATTTTCACTTACGACGTCCTCATATTCACTTGAGTCAGACATTTTTACAGTTAAATTGAGACAATACTTCACTTAGGCAACACACAAAAACAGGGAAACATGTGTGCAGTAGGTTATGTGTTCCATAAGACCGGAAACCACAGCGACTCACAGGCAGAGATACGCGCATTCGAGTGAGTGGTCTGTTTTGGTCAGAAAGCAATCTTGTTGTGACTGCAATATTTTTCATACGTAAGAAAGAATTCCTACAAACTGAAATATTGCCTTCTTCACTGCCGTGCCGCATTTCGATAAACAGTCTGTGACGTCCCGTAGAGCCACTCGGTCGTGTTTGTGTGTGGATTGTGTTGTTCTTGGTTGTGTTCTGCTAGGTGAAGTGTCAAAAGCAACCTAGCGATGTGCAAAACTAGTTCAATATGTTGATCAGGACAAATGGATACATTTCAGTTATGTCGTCTAAAACTTGCCACCCATATCGAGGGCTGTTTTTGAGTTAAATCAAGAGGGTTGAGAAGTTAAACCGAATTTAGTACGGTAAGTTCTTATTTTATTTTATTGGTTTCATCATTTTTATGTCCAGTGGCATTCGTATGACGACAATTGACATGTATCATTCTGTTCACCTTGAGTTTTTGTATTTTTGAGAAAAATTTCTTGGTTATGTCTTTACAGAAAAATAAGTATGTGTGTGGATGATAGGATTTTTGCATCTATAAATTTGATAGTCTTCTTGACAACATCACAATGTTTCTTCCTTAAATATAATGTTGACGGTTTCATCCCTATTTCATTACTGTCACTAAAGAATCATAATTATTAAGTGTGTTGTATGCTATTTTAGCGTTGAGGTTAAGACAACTTACATTATTTCACTTTTGGTTGCCTTTCTTAAATTAATTTAAATTAACTCTGTAGTGCAAGAAATATTTGACTCTGCCTAATCCGTTTCATATGCTTTCTATTTCAGGAACTGAAGCCCTCCAATAAGATATACATTGAATGAAGAAATTCTTCTTCTCTTCATTAATAGTGAAAATGAGTGTAAAATCAAGAGTGGTGTTTGTGTGTGTGCTGGCATCAGTGACTTTGTCGTCAATTTGTGAATGTGCAATATATCACAACGAGTTTGCTGTCTGGATCCCAAACGGAAAAGGAATAGCTGATTCTATCGCCGACAAGCATGGATTTGTCAACAGAGGACAGGTAAGATCTTAGCAAGTTACTGTGTGGTAATTTCTTATCACAAGCTGATGGTCTAGCAGCTATTGTAGCATAATTGTTGAGAGACATAGAGAAGACGACAGGACTGATTGATTCAAGTCAGAAGTAGATGACAGGAGGTAAGCATTGCTTTGGAACCCAGAGGCCAGAGGCACACCTCGAATCTTGAGCTCTCCTCCCATCCTTTGGCTAGACCGTAATCCTGTTCAGTTGGGTCCAGTATTCATGTAGGACGGAAGTGACAACCAGCGGCATGCGTTCAATATCAACCGATTGCCGTCTGGGTGCGACAACAGAGAAAATCCGCAAGCTCTCATAGAAAAAAGTGTGTTCTGCATCTCGATGTCTGTGTCCACCCCGAGACGCGCAGTGTAAGGGAAGTACTCCGTTTCCGCTGCCAAGTTCAGCCTCAGCCTTCCAGCTCTCGTAGCGCCTGATAGGTAGGCAACATCTTTTCTGCAGTGCATGCGTGTACGGTGGGTTGGCCTACCCTTAGTCTCGCAGGCGCCGAGCTTCCGTAATTCCCCGGAAGAATCTGAGATAAAACGGACGGACTCTCTAAACGGTTGCTCCAAAGCATAGTCCATTGCCAGTTAGCGGCGGGGCGGGGCGGGGTGGGGTGAGGTGTGGTACCTCGGGGTACCTTCTGATTCTTCTGTTCAGCCCCGGTAGTGCGCGGCACGCACCGCGGCCAATAGGCTACTTCCTCCAGGGGCGGTCAGGTGGCGCGACTGATCGGCCAGCTGACCCGGCCAAGCAAAAGAAAATAATAAAAAAGTAAGCGAGCAAACGAAAAAGAAAACAGAACTGCCACTACTTCGAAATGAGCCGGCCAGACAGCCGGAGCCGGGGCAGATGACAAAAGCACCAAAGCCAGTTTTTGTATTGGAAAAAATTAAAAAGACATAGTAGCTGTGTGTGTGTGTATAACACATAATAACGCTCCAGTTTGCGTTGTGTGGCAATGGGTGGGCGGATCGTGTGGATTGCTTATCCAGACGATCAACCCTCTCTTCCGGCCAGCAGGGATCCGGTTTGGGTGACGGCAGCGCAAAACTGGGCGCTGCTTTTTGAAGGCGCGGGGTGGGTCGAGCGCGGCGGCGGCGGCTGTCGCGACGGTCGGTGCGGGGGCCCGAGAAGTTCGCTGTGGTCAGGGGAAGGACCAACGAGGTATGAGGCACAGTAAGGGGAACTCGTCTTCGCGGAGAGCTATTGACGTGCGGGGCGCGGGCGAGGGCATGACGTCCCAAGTCCGCGCAGCACTCGGCTGGGATACGGTCCGTCCGGTTGGCCGCGCGAGCCGAGCTGGCAGAGCGCCTGCACAGACAGCGTGGGCGGGCGAGGGTGAGACGCGGGGGGCGGGTTGCCAGTTGCCATACCCTCCCTCGCTGCCACCGGACGCCAAACGAGCGCCAAGGAACTTGGCGACGAATATGATATTCCAGCCCGTTTGAGCCCCGTTTGGGCTTATGCACGACGCTATCGGGGTGCGGGTGGCGATGCCCGATCGGCTCTGGCTCAGGTCCGAAAAATAATGACGAATGAAAGTCTCGCTGATGCTGATCCCCTCTGGCAGCGCGTCCGGCCGGGCGGCGGGATTACCCCGCCCACGGTTTGTTTTTATCGCGTCCTGCCGAAGGGAAGCAGGGGCGCGTCGGGCGCGTTTTACTATACCGTGCGGCCACCACCGCACCTGCAGAGCTGCAGGTGACCAGGGTCTCACCGCGCGGCCGCTGACTAACGACACCGTCGTACTGTTATTTGCGGCCACAGGAGGTGGGGAGGTCACGTTGGGTCGTGGGCAGGACGGAGGAGGTGAAGTTCAGCGCCGTGCGAGCCTGTGCCGGAGAGAATGGGTGTCGGGTCCGCCGCCGCCCTCGATGTCTCTCTGTGTGATGTCGTTTTCCAGGTTAATGCATCGGGTTGGTTCGGCGTGGCGCGGCGTGGCGCGTCGTCGTCGTGGCACTGGCTGGATTGAGGTGTTGAAACACACTGCCCTGGCAAGGACGAGCGCCGCGCCCGCCCGCTCTCGCACCGGCCACTAGTAGCAGCGAGCCACACTGCCAAGAACAAATTATGGTTGTAAATTGGCCATATTTTATTTTGTTTGTAACTCAGTTACTCACGCCGGCTCGTTGTGGCGTTCAAACATACAATATATGTCGCATGTAAGCGACGTAGACCATAAGGGGCGTAGAATTCCGTAATTTTACTCTTTCACCACTTCGTTACTGTGCCGTAATTATAATGTCAGGCAAAAAGTTTTAGCAACACTAAAGAATTTCTTCATAACGTATACAGTATAACAACTTTTGTAGTTACTAGGCAAATTTTCTTGTGAAAAAAGTTCAGAGTGTTGGAAATACTGACCTACCTATGTATGTCAGTGTTCCTAAACACTCTGTACACCACCACCACCCCACGGTGGTCGCTGTGCCCCGTCGGATACAATGCTTGTACTGTGAAGAGCTAGTGATGCACACACGTTGGCTGCGGGGGCGCCTGGCGCTGGCGGGGCCGGCGGTTGCGCCTGACCTTTCCGCACAACGTGACTACACCCCGGTGGGTGCGCGGCACAGGGACAGGGGCACAATAGCGGAGTGCGGCGGTGTCCCATTGAGCCTCATTCGCATCAGCAGTGTCCCGCGTATCCCGTTTGTCTCCCCGCCCCAGGACCCAGACTTCCCCACAGGGTTCCCCTGACGCGGACGGGGCCGCCGAGCGCTTTGCCGAATCCAGTAACAATATGCACTGCACTACTCGTTTCGCTCTGCGGGCGGCGGCGGCACCCACTCTATCCGGTGCAGTAGCCAGGGCGTTGTCCTTTTATCCGGGCGCGGGGCGGGGCGGGGCCGGGGGCGGGCAGGACGTGCGAGTGACAGGCCGACCAACGCCATTGTGGCGCCGCCGCCCCCGCGCGGCGCCGAGCTCGCCGAGCTGTCCTCTGCCGGCCGCCCAGATGCACGCGAAACAGCGTCCTTTCCATTTGTATTCATTCCCTTTTGTTTCAATCAGCTTTGCTCGTGCCCGTGCCCGGCCGCGTGCTCAGGCTCCTCCGGCTCGCTCGGCTCGTGTGCCGGTAATCGTCTTAATGGTTCGGTTATTTGCACGACGACGGCGGCTGCGAATAGCTCCGGGCCGACGTCGTCGTTACGTCATCAGGCCGGACCGGCCGAGCCCTGCCCTGCCCTGCCCCCGCCCGCCGCGCCCGGTGATCTCAAACCCAAGATTGGCAGGCTG